ATGGAGACTCCAAGATGAAGGAAAGCTGTAAAGGATGGAATCATGATTGATAGCTTGAACCCAGGACAGGAACAAGAAATCCATTCAGAGGGTGGGAGAACAGAAGGAGATGCAGCTGCATCAAGGAAATGCTGAGGCCTTAAGAAATCTGGGCAGTAACATGAAATTAATATAGTTTAAATTTTTCATTCAGARGATAGGGAAAGGGGCTTTCTTCCCATTCTGTGTTTGCTAAACATCTGCAGGCAGGTTCTGTAAATACCAGATGTTTGTTGAAGTGTCTCTTAAACAGACTGATAAACTCATTCCAGAATAGCTGAATATGTTTTGAGGCCATCAGTGCTCTCACACTCCACTTTAATCTGATTTTGCCTCGTCCTGTGCTTTCCAGAAATGAGAAGCAGCTTGTTTAAATACCATTTATGCCTGAATTGCTAAAAGCAACCATTGCTAATAAGAGAGAATGAGAGAGAGAGAGAGGAAAGGAAGGAAGGAAGGAAGGAAGGAAGGAAGGAAGGAAGGAAGAGAAAGAAAGAAGAAAGGAAGAAAGGAAGAAAGGAAGAAAGGAAGAAAGGAAGAAAGGAAGAAAGGAAAAGAGAAAGAAAAAAAGAGAAAGAAAAAAGAAAATGAAAGACAAAAGAAAGGAGAAAAGAAAGAGAGAGAAAGAAAGAGAGAAAGAGAGAGAAGAAAGAAAGGAGGAAAGAAAGAGAGAGAAAGAAAGAAAGAGAGAGAAGAAAGAAAGGAAGAAAGAAAGAGAGAGAAAGAAAGAAAGAGAGAGAAGAAAGAAAGGAAGAAAGAAAGAAAAAGAGAGAGAAGAAAGAAAGGAAGAAAGGAAGAAAGGAAGAAAGAAAGAAAGAAAGAAAGAAAGAAAGAAAGAAAGAAAGAAAGAAAGAAAGAAAGAAAGAAAGAAAGAAAGAAAGAAAGAGAAAGGAAGGAAGGAAGAGAGAAATGGATAAGACTGAATAAAAGCAACTCCAAATCTCATTCATGCCAGAAACAGACTCAGAGGATGGCTGAGATGGTCTAAATATGGTTAAAAGCTCATTTTAGTGTTATTTTTCTACTCWGTTCCAACCCATTCCTTCTAATATCATCTGCACAAGTTATTGCAGATGCTCTTGGGACTGCTCAGAAAGATTTAGGGTGGATGTCACACAAAGATCCCAGGATTTGGGATCACATGAGCTAAAATGGAAGAGAATTGTTTAGATTACCTATGGGGAATTAATTATGGTGAAATTAAATGGTGTAATTAAAAAATAAAGAGGGAAAACTCTTTAAAAAGAGTAAAATAACTATGAAAAACAGTCTGATAAAAAGTACAGGAGACTGATGAATAACATGACAAGTTATCATTGTAAAGCGGTGGTATTTGGGTTATGACAAATTATATAAAGTATTAGAAAATTCATCCTGGAAAAGCAGCTTGCATGACGCACTTTTACAATTTTTTATTCTAGTTCTAAGATATTTTGCATATTCTGTGATGTGACTCAGGAATCTTTGAGCTTTGTGAGGTAATTCYGAGACAGCAGTCAGTAATTTACATAATTAGCATAACAGTATTTAATTATATGATTACTGTAAATATGTGTAAAACTTTGATGGTGTAATTAGAATGTGTAATAACTACTTATAATTACGTAATTAAGTATGATGACATAACCAAACTTCTAATGTGGAAAAAAAGAAGAGTATTTACTACACCATTGAAAATGGAATAGTGCAGAATTATAGACATAGTAAACTATATATATTTATATTTATGTCAGTATGAATCCCCTTAAATAAGACCCAGAAAGACAGATTGTGGGTAGCATATTTTACAAYTCAACTGCAGAATTCTTTCACTATTTCAATAAACTGGAAAATTTCTATTTTTTGGTACATATATATTGTCTTTTATATGCTCTCAGAAACAGAAATATGTATGTCTGTGCCTATATATTCAAATAAATAAAACTTAATTCAGTTTAATACACAAGATATGCAACTTCACACACAAAGCTATTTTTGTATATCGCTGTATATAAATGTATTAAAAAAACAAAAAGCATATAAAATAACAGATGATGTTTCAGAAAATGCAATGAACACTTAWGTAATAACTCTGACTATCCCGTTTCCAGCAAAACAGGAGATTGTTTTTTTGTGATCTATTATCAGAGCAGAGCTCATGATGCAGCCAAAACACAGGAGGGATAAACTCTGAAGAGGTGGAGGAGATTTCTGGTAGAATTCCAAATG